AGTTGTCCTCATCAGGGACCAAAGCCTGGCCCCTCTGGAGGAGAACCTGATTAAAGATAGCATTAGGCTGTGAATTGTGTTTATATTACAGTTTGTGGTTCTTGTGTAGGTTGTAGCTTTTTCAATATATGTAGGTCAGAGGGGGTTTAACAGAAGTAACTGTGTTAACTGGGCTGGGTGTGTGTGTACTGTGGTTTTTTTTTACCTTGTTTGGCCTCTAGTAGCAACATTTCCTATATAAAACTATACTACTATAAAATTGTCACAATGGAAACGCTTGTCTTAATGTTGAATATCAACTTCTGAGAAATCATTGAAGTTAGAGCAATTTTTTTTCCTCATGGTTTTTGTATGCCATGTTCAGGTTGATCTGACTGCACAACATGCTCTGATTTACAATTCCTAACACACAAATGCATCACTTTCATTTGTCAGATTTAGGTAAACTTTCTTTGACATTACGATTAGGAGTGCAGGGTGTCATATCTCTAGCATGAGAAACAACCTGCACCAACAGTACAAAACCTGAGTGGTGTGGAAGCAATGGCGCCCTCCGTTTGTATTTTTCATTTTAAACTCTTTTTTTTGCATGTTTGAGACATCTTCAGGAGGTTATAAATGTACAGACCAAATGGAGGCAGCAGTTTAGTGTTGAACTTTTAAAGTAATGAATTTTGCTTGTTGCTAACAAAACACCATGTCATTGTCTTCATATACAAGGGCAGGTAACAGGAGCAATGTTAACTTTTTTACATTGTAAAAGTTTGCTTTTTTTAATAGAAATGAGCATGTTCTGTGGTATAACGCATTAAACAACAAGAAATTTGTTCCCTTGTGTTATTCTGTATGATTGTATAATACAACTACAACATTTAAAACCTCATACACTGCACTATAAACTTCATTTAAACGGGGAAATGTCTGTGCAGCTTTTGTAGAATTTTATATAGAGGTTACATTTAAAAAAAATAATCTGTGTTAAATTTCCAGACCTCTGGATTATAATACATTTTATTGCCACACCCAAAACAACAGTGAATGAAGGTACTATTTAATTGTTCTTTTAATTATGAATTGTCTCTCAAAAGAGTAGGTATGCAGAGGGCTGTGTATTTACAAAGAGCTGTCCCAATTTTAAGCCAAGCCTGCAAACACAGTGATACTGAACACACGTGTAGTTTGACTGCTGCCAATGCGTGTGCGCGTGTGCATGTACATCCCCGGTGTGTGTACCTCTTTGAGTTCTTTGGCCACATCCTTCAAGTCTCCCAGGATGGTTTCCAGGTTCTCCACAATGCTCTTGATCTCATTTTTGACTTTCACTTTGGAGACTACTCTTTCAGCCTCTATATTTGCTGTCCCTGACATCTTTCAGCTGAGGGCACAGTCTTATTTCGCCGAAGGTCTCGGGGATCAAATCCTTTGCTCGCCACGCTGCCACTTTGCCGACGCATTTCCATTCAGTCCAGTCGACCAGCGCTGTATATCCGCCACCAGGCATGCGCAATAGAGCCCAGCACGGAAAAAAACGATGATGGTCATATATCTTGTCATCATACTGAAACTATCCACAGGTTTGTTCACCTCGCACGCTCGTGTCCTGGTACAACAGTAGCCCCAGACTGCTGTCCTTCCAAAAGAGCGCTGAATTCAACATTTACAATGTCCAAGAAAGAATGGTAATAAATAAACACACAAAGCTGCTGCTTTCGCCATCGCTGCCTGCTCAGAGTGTATGAGCTGAGCCTCCAACTCTCTCTCTCTCTCTCTCACAGCGAAATATTAGTTCACAGTGAAAGATTAGTTCGCAGAGTGTGATTTGTGAGTGATTCGTGAGTTCAATATGAACAAATATTTCATATGACTCGGGAGTCACGAGTCACGAATCTTTCATATGACTCGGGAGTCAACCTCCCTACACTGTTATCAACAGTCGAACAACAACAGTGCCCTTCTGTGTCTAACTGAGGTATCCTAATAATTAAATGCTCACCATGTATACAATACATATGTCACGCATGACATGCCGGTATCTTAGATTTCCCAACCGTACATACTGTACATGATTGTTTTTTTTTTAATGTATTACCCTGTATGTATGTGTGGCAAAATGTCTTAGATATACTTTTTCGTGAGCACGAGATACGTTTCTCTTTTCCCCCGTATATTAGTACTGTGTACTATGTATTAAAACTTTCACAACTTTTTTTCATTCTAAAATTATAATTATTGTTTAAAAATTCACACAATTAGTTGTATTCAGAGCAAAAAAAGTATTACATGGCTTTCACGGAAATACATTTTAAAATATGTGACTTTTTTTGCTCAGGTTACCGACCCCTGCTGTTATAATTACGCCCACATTAAAGGTAAAAGACAATTTTATCCATTTATCATTCGATCATCATACAACATACAAATACAAATTTTACGGAATAAATGCAATATTGAGTGCCTATGTCATATAAGATACATTACGTCTTACCTCGGACACATGAACTTGGTGTATTCTTGACAAAGAAAATGATTAGCACTTTGCAATAGACAGTGCAGATTCTTGCATATACCTGTGTCTGGAGTGTGTTCATGTACCACCTAATAAATCAGTCAGTTTCATCACTCAAGTTCTTTGGGAGATCAATATTTCTTTCACCATTCACTCACCTGTGGCTTACAATAAGTAACATTTTATGGCATCTAATTGCATGAAACATTAAGCCATTACTCTCTATAGTGATCTTTATCATTTATAGTGAAGTTCATAGATAATGAAAGAGTTCAGAAACTTAGTTTCAATTCAATTTAATGTTTCGCGGATCAAACAAAACAAGAGTGGGGAAACAAGAAGTTGCAGCACAAAGATCCTGTCCTGTCACTGCAGCAGCTTAAATATAGTGCCTGTATGACACTGCCCAATTCAATTTGTCTCTTCACTGCCTGGATGAGGAAACTGGCACAGCAGAAACTACCCATTCAGGCATGACTGACTCAAACACAGAAGGGAGATCTTGGGTTGTCGAAATCTGTACAGAAAGCAAAAGGCATGCATCCCACAATGGTGATCACGACAACCTTCGTAACCTCCCTGAGCTTATTCCAAATCTTGTCAGGATATGCTCCTACCTGCCTCTCTGGATTGGTGTGCTAACACCACATTTTCTTGGTAGTAAGCACTTCTGCCGATATAGAAGTTATAGGTAGTTATAGGTATAGAAGCCGAGTTTAAGAACTTTAAGTGTGGCCTTTTCAAAAATGATAACCTGCCCATTGTAAGAAGACACCTAAATTACAGATGCGGCTTTCTTCAGCAAAAGATAAAAAGCCAGACACTGGCCAGACACCAGTCACTGATGTTGAATGCGAAGAACGTCCGGCAGTGGACACCTCCAATCAGCAAACACTGGAGAACTTTCTCAAGGTGGCAATGCTTTGACGACCTCTCCAAGAGGGTTTCCACAGTGTCTGAAACCATAATGTAATACCACACGTTTTACACAAAGGAGTAGCTTGGGTAAATAATGTGCAAAGTCTTTGTGCAACCCACTGCCCTGTTGTTCCATATTACTGATACTGTTACTGAGTTACTTAAATAAATGGCACATGCTGTTGCGTCATAAACATTCAAACTGTTACTTGCCTCTCTTCACTTTTAATTCTTTGGTTATGTCACAATCCACCCCAGTGTAACGTCAATTTAACATATCCCATCTTACATGCTCCAAGCGGATTACTGTATATCCGTTTACCCTGCTCAACGTCGAAAACCATGGGCGAGTGCTGTGTGCTTGTTTTTGTGGAAACATGGCTCAACAACAACGTCCCGGATTGTACCATTCAGCTCGATCGGCTGACCCACGACTGCACACCAACATTCAGCTCCAACCTCTTCATTAAGTTCGAGGATGACATGACTGTGGTAGGTCTCATCAGTAACAGTGATGAGACAAGGTACAGGAGTGAGGTTAACCGTCTGGCCTTGTGATGTAAAAACAACAATCTCTGCCTGAATATGGAGAAGACAAAGGAGATGTTGTGGACTTCAGGAGGAAGCACACCTAGCACACTCCCCTTAACATCGACAGTGCCGCAGTGGAGAGGGTGAGCAGCACCAAGTTCCTGGGAGTGCACATCTCTGAAGACCTCTCCTGGACAATCAACACCACATCTCCACATCACATCACAACAGAGCTTATGATTCCTCCGCAAACTTAGAAGAGCAAGAGCACCGGCCCCCATCATGCAGACCTTCTATAGGGGCACCATCGAGAGCATCCTGACCAACTGCATCACTGTGTGGTATGGTGCCTGCACCATGTCTTGCCGCAAGACCCTACAACGCATGGGAGCAGCTGAGAGATCACTGGTGTCTCTCTTCCCTCTCTTCAGGACATCTACAACACCGCCTCATTCACAAGTCCATCAAGATTGCAGGTGACCCCTCCCACCCAGCTTACAGCCTCTTCAGCCTACTGCCATCAGGTAGGAGACTGTCCGAGCCAGAACCAGCAGGCTCAAAGACAGTTTTATCCACCAGGCCGTGAGAAGACTCAACTCCCTACCTGCTCTGCCCTCCCTCCCCCCTCTGTCACACACAGACTCTACTGTGCCCCTCCTATCCTTCCCATCTGTTGGTGCTGAAAATTACGTTATTCAGCCACCACTATTGTCATCTAACTGCCACAGATAGAATGACCTGAAAAGATACCTGACAACGTTGTAAGTTTTACTCGCTGCGAGGGGGAGCAGAGAGGCCAACAGCTTTGCAGAGTTGGCTCACCTAAGTCCTAAAGTGTATGAGGACTGCAGCTCCTTTTATTGAGAAACCTACATAAGTACTGAGCAGTTGTTTTTTCATTACGTATATACTCTTTGGGCAAAGTTCACACGATTCACATACTTGATGAGGAACAGACTTCATCCTTTGTGGACCACATCGTAAAACATTTCTAGGAGTACCTCCTCCTGACAAGCAGACTATGATTTAACACACTTAGATAACAGTTTATGGTTCAACACACTTTGGTAACTAACTATAAATTCTATTTACACCATCCCTTATTTGCACTATTATGAATAGACTGTGGATCATCATAGACATATTGCACCATCTCCAAGTACTACCTCACCCTCAACCAAATAAGCTGAGTCACTACTGTCTTTATTGATTCACCACTCATCGTTCATTCTGTCTGTAATTACTGAATAATATCGCAGCACATGTTGTTTTTCAGCATATATCCTCACTATATTATTAGTTTATATCCCTTTCCCTTGTAAATATCTCCTTTATTATATTCTTGCCATTTTGCACTGTGGGTCTGAGAGGACTGCAATTTCATTGTGCCATATGTCCTGTATGTATGGCATATTTGACAATAAAGTTGACTTTGACTTTGACTCAAGGTGGCAATGCCTTGATGACCTCTTCAAGAGGGGTTCCACAGTGTCTGAAACCATAATGTAATACCACACATTTTTACACAAAGGAGTAGCTTGGGTAAATAATGTGCAAAGTCTTTGTGCAACCCACTGCCCTGTTTTTCCATACTACTGATACAGTTACTGAGTTACTTAAATGTAAATGCCACACGCTGTTGCATTGTAAACATTCAAACTGTTACTTGCCGCTCTTCACTTTTAATTCTTTGGTTATGTCAGGATCCACTGAAGGATTTTAAATCATGTTATATGTTTATTGCAACAGCCTTATTATCTACCTCATATGGCAACATTCATAAGGATAGTGTGAAAGTTTAATCAGTAGGTCCCTTAAGGACAAAGAGATTAGACAGTGGAGGAAACGTATGTCTCAGTGTTTACTACAGTGTTTATTCTATAACCTAGGGGGCACACTTGAGTCACTGTGAAGACCCCGAAAACAAGTCCCTAAAAGGAAATCACTTGTACAAAGAATTTCGCCCTCATGTGACTCAGGAGCGCGCCCTAGGGAAGTTTACAATATGTAAGTTCTATGAGCATGCATGTGCTGCCGGTGTTTTGAAGTTTTTTCCTACCTATAGTTTTTTCCTACCCGAGTTAACTGCGCATGCGTACATGGGCCGGTAGCAGAAATTTATAGCGTAGTCTGAAGTTTTTTCCTACCTGAAGTTTTTTCCTACCCGTAGCATAGATTTATAGCCATATCTGACATTTGTGTTCAGGGTGGTAGAACATTATTATACACATCAAATCTCTATAAAGACATCCTTCTGACTCTATTCAGAGTGGTAGCACATTACTATAGACATGAAATCACTATAAATACGTGCTTCTGACTCTATTCAGAGTGGTAGCACATTATTTGAATCTACACAGAAAATCCCTGTTAATATACAGTGGGTACGGAAAGTATTCAGACCCCTTTAAATTTGTCACTCTTTGTTTCATTGCAGCCATTTGCTAAAATCAAAAAAGTTCATTTTATTTCTCATTAATGTACACTCAGCACCCCA